CAAAGTACATCCTTTTGAACTTTGATTGCGCGATCATGTTTGCAACAAACATCCAATTTTGTTGCATAAGTGTAAGAGGTTAAACTACCATTAAAAGATTATTTACTTAGATCGATGAAGATCGCCCGTACCCAGACCTACATTAAGAAATTTTTGAAATGTCTGCCATTTGGAACACGTCAACAACTGATTACTTATCTGCACAAACAAGGTCAAGGTAAAACAACTCTATATTACCGTATTTACTGCACTATACAGTGCATAAGTTGATTCGCGAATGACCTTGTTACATCATTCAAATAAAAAATCGTACTTATGCGTAACACAGGAATCTCCTGATATTACGAACTTTGTATTAATGTCTGAAGTTGAAGAATGAGTAACTCTGTTGCATCATCTTCAAAAATGTTTCTACCGCCGTAGTGTCTACGAAATTCGCTAACCAGTATCCTCAAATTACGCACGCATACAAAGCATGAACATACTATGTTTATCCCAAATGATTGTAGATTCGAAGCACATTCTATAATATGATTTTTTTTTAAAACTTAAATGCTGAAAGCCACTAACTATACAAATGAATCGGTCATTGCAAAAACTTCGCATGTCCCACAATCATACGATGAACGTCGATTATGCGGTACTATTGAATTTGAAAAGATTGATTGACGCGTTTTCAGGAGAAAATGCATGTTGGAAAAATAGAGATTACGTGGTTTCGAAATGATCGAATCAAATTTAAATTCAATATTTTGATACAAACAATACTTTTATCTCTTGGACTTTAAAAATAAAATCGCCTATCAGAGGTAGCGGGGAGAGACTATTTTTGACCAATTAACGGGGCTCCTACAATCACGAGCACCATCTGCTGAGGTAACGGGGGGTGAAAAGGAAACGAGGGTGGGCTGGCACTAGACGGTGGTCGGCGTACTTTAAAAGAGGAAACGATGACTGCGGGTGCATGCCAAGGTAATTTTTTATAATAACAGAGTTGGATTTCGATTAGCGATCTAGCCTGTAAATCGTTTCCTATTTTGGTACTCAGCAAGTGATCTTTTAGTATTTTTCTCCCCTTGTTACTGTTCGTCGATATTGTGTTGTTGAATTGTTGTGCTGTACTCTTGTTGGTGTGATTGTTCTTGAGTGCCTTTTTTTATCAAGGTTCATAATGGACAATAAAAGGTCATATGCGACCATTTTAATTACGGATGCAGTGAGTTTAATTCATGAGGTCAACAATAGTGTGGAGCAGTTCAACACAATAATCGCAAAATACATTGGGGAGTCAGCGAATAAATTATTGCAAGAAGAGGTCATACCATGGAAGATGTGCTGCAGCTGTCGTGAGCCACAATACCCAGCGGCCTGTCTATGTGGCCCAAATACATTTGCGTTCTAAGCTTAGTCCAACCTCGCTTATCTCTAAGATGGAACAATGACTCAAACGGAAGAATCCTGAAAAGAAACTCAGGCCAAAAAAAAAGCTGATATAAAAATAACTAACAATTCGGATAGCAATTCCAAAGAAAATGAATAGCTTTATGGCGAATTCTGTCAAAAACCTGACATCAACGACTTTGATTTGGAGGTTTCTAAGCAAGAATTTTTAGGGAAACTTAAAAAAAGTGACGACGAGATTTTGCAGATCGAACAAGTCACCAAATCACAGGACTGTACTTTGTTTCGCCTTCATCGGAAGGTTGACAGCGTCTCGATTTGGTAAAGTTTGTAGAAGAAGGCAGACAACAAGCTGTAAAGTTCTAGTAAACTCCATCATATACCCAACAGAGTTTTCTAGTAAGGCAATAAAAAAGGCAATACAAAAATCATTGGACACGGCAGTTCAATCTTGTGGTTTGTTTATTGATCGCACAAATCCATTTCTGGCAGCATCGCCTCCGTCTACCTATTACATTAGACAAGAAATGCACTTAATCCAGGTATACGCCTACCTGTTTATTATTGCTTTGCAAAAACTACCTAACTGTTTCCTTTTATTTTGACGGCATAAGATATTTTTGTGACCCTCGTGCAATTGTTACCATGTACCACATGACCCTTGTAAACATAATTGTGTTTATTGACATGAATAAACGATTTTGAATTTGAGTTCTTGAATTTATTTTACTAAAGATATCAAATTATTTGAATACATTTTTTCTTAGTCGGAACACACCGTCGCGTCGCTTGGACTGGCAGCACGAAACAGTAGACGAATTTCGCCCAAAAACCGATTTGCACTTCACAGCTTACGTTTCATTTTTTATTATTTCCAAATGAAACTCTTGCAGCGTGTTAAAAACAAAGTCCACAGGATGCTAGCGATCCACTTTTTCGATTTTATCCACTAGGATCTTCATAAAATATCAAGAAGTTGAGCACAAATAGTAAGCATTTCAACCCACCATAATTCTTGCACAAAGACAAAATTTTGTAAAAAGCTCTGATAGCACCTTAGGCAATTATGTCCTGCTTATATCCAGAAAAACATCACAAACTGCAGAGCACAAATTGAAGGTAACGGCGAAATGGGTACATTTCAGGGGTCATGAAATTCAAATGAAAATGCAGGTATAAAATCTACCAAATTATCGTTCTAAAAAACATATTTCCTTGACATATCGATAATTTTAAAGTTCCACGCTAAATTCCCCTATACTTGACTGGAGTGGTATCCGAATTCATTCTTCCCTACTGTCGGTAGTTGCAGATAGATCTGCTGGCTCTTTGTGTTAAACCTATAGAGCAGATACCGATTTTTTCAAATCGTGAGCACATCATTCGTCGGATTTTCGTTACTTAAATTTCCTGTAATCACTGGGACCAGAAGCTTCTTAATAATAGAACGTGTTTCACTGATATCAAAGATGCAACATTTAGAATCACCTTCCCCCAACCCCCACTTTTTAAGCAGTACATTTTTTTTATGGCAATGATAAGGAACCCCTGTAACGTCAAAAACGGAGTTTCAGCAATTGTTACTTTTTCTTTTGCCCTATAGCACCCTTGCCATTGGACTAAAACTACAAAGCTTTGGCATACTAGTAACCCCGTGTGGAAATTTCATAAAAATCCGAGCGGTAATTTCCAAGTTGATGATGAGTGATATAGTTTTTCGTGATATGACTTAAAAAAACATTACATTTCATTTTAGAAATTTTCCGCGATTACAATACTTCCTCCCCACTGGGATTATGAGTACCTATTTGCAGAATGACTTATCTATGCGATATTATATGAAATAGGGCCACCAAATTATTTGAATACGTCCTTTGTTAGTCCGTACATTGCACCGCAACGCTTGGGTTGGCAGCACGAAACAGTAGACAAAATTCGTCCAAAATACGATTTGTAGAGGTTTGCGCGCTTCGACATTGACGCTTTATTTTTTGATATTTTTGAATGAAATTTTCATAGTGTGCTGAAAACAAAACCCCACAGGGTGCTATAGAGCCACTTTTTCATTTTTTTCACTAGATTCTTTTTAAAAAAATCGCGTTGAAGTTGAACAGAAAAAGTGCGCACTTCAACCCATCATAAAACTTGTGCAAAAACAAAATTTCAAAAAGTGCTCCTATAGCACCCTGGGCAATTAGCTTCTGAACATACTGTATGAATTTCATTCAAAAATATTGAAAAATGGAGTATCCGTTTCGAAGCAGCTGAACCCCTGTAAATGGCTTGAAACTCACTGAGTCGGAGCCGCCTTAAGAGTGACATAAAACAACACATGCAAGCTGTAGGCATCGGAATTGTTTGCAAGAAATATCAGTAGACATCATTAATCAAGTGAATGACAATGGCTATTACCCCCAACATCTTTCTTATCTAGAGATAGGATGGTTATACCTGGGAGAAGAAACATTTTCTCTTTATATTAATGTGAATAAAACTTAGTCATTCCTTGTATCTACACTTTATTATGAATCACAAAATCGTGATCATAGACAGACTTGGGTCAAATACTGAAATCCGGTATTCATATACGAATCCTGAATACTGTATTTTAAAATGTAATAGAATACTCTAGATTCGATAACAAAAAGTATTCGTTTATCGCTGTTTTGAATACCTTTATTAATATAAATATGAACTTTTTTTGAATATTCGAACTAAGAAAAAGCATCGGCACTTTAAACTTGATTTTTATATATGTACTTGAGTTATAAAATATATAAAAAATTAAAAATGCATGACTATATTAAATAAACAATATGACATTTTGCAGGATTCCAATACAGAATTCGAATACCGGGATTTGAATCCAAAGAGGGTATTCAAATATCGGGATCCAGGAGCGGTATTCAGAAGACTGAGCAAAAAAGTATCCAGTCGAATACCAACTAGCAAAATACACAAATCTATTCGAATAGTATTCGAATATTAGCAAAATGTGTTCTGGATAGGATTCAAAATACTGAATATTCCAATACTACCTAAGTTTGAACATAGATAATTAAGTATTTTTATAATTTTTCGTATACATTGCTTATGCTCGTAGGGACATTTGCGGACTCTAAAAACGCGAAGAACAGGGCTGTTACTTCCCACGCACATTTCTGTCTGTCTGTCTGTCTGTCCGTTAATCCTTAACCCCTCTATAACTTCGAAAGTACAGCGCGGATTTTGATGAAATTTCGGCACAAGAACAAGGAAGGTTTGTACAAAATCGATCCGATGACGGTGGAGCTAGGCAAAAAACATATATGTATGCACTTCCAACCCCGGTAATTCTAAGTACCTGTTTGAAATATTTCACAAAACATAGCTTTCCCCATGCATTTGCCCTTACAACTTGTTAGCTTCGAGGTTAGTCATAGCACGTTGCAGTAGTGTAAGAATGATTATGATAAATTGTTTTTGAGTGCGAGTTTTTCGAGAATGTCAAGTCATTACATGCACTTTGTTGTATTTCTTATGCATTTTATTTGTTGCAGAATCCACCAAAAACATGGAATAATAGACTCAAAACATTCCGGAGATTTGAGACTGGCAAGATGATCTTTACCCTGTACTATATGTATGCCACCTTTATCCAATGGTGGAGACTAGGGTCTTTACGCAATAAATTGAGTGGTACCATAAATTCCCATAATGCTCTTTTAGTATGCAGTGAGACCGTAATCTATGATACTAAAAAATCTAGGAGTTTTGAAAACTTGCTATTCAGAAATGGCGAAAGAATAGGATGTACCATTGTACCTAGAGTATGCATTGATTGTTTTATTATATTTTTGAGAATCTTAGAAATCTTATAATTATTTAATAAAGATATAATATAGCCCTTTGGATTTAATATCTTGAGTTAATATGCCTCATTGCAAAGATTTAAAATTCGTGATTTTTGGAAAATTTTCGACATATTGATGAGGTATTTTTTTCTTTTCAGCAAAAAGTGAATTTATCCCAGTGGCTTGTTTTCCCCAGAGACTATAGATATTTTCCTATATTTTTCAAAGCTGTCACCCCCAAAATTTCGCCTCCTCACGTTTATATATTAATTCAGGCCATGCTAGAAACGTATGTTAAACATTCCGCAGATCTTTTAGAGGTAAGTGGTATTTGCCCTCAAAAAGTTAGAGAAGTACATTGAAATTTCCGGAATAGAATCTGTAAATAGTTTAGTTATTTCATCCATTGTCAGAAATTCTAAATGAGGTACTAAAACACCGTTTTTACATTTTCAAACTTTACTTTTCGAAGTTAAACTCAGTATCGTAGATTCAAGATTAGTGAATTTAAAAGTGAAAATATTTAAGTTTACTTTAACGTGAATTTAAATAAATAGAATATTTTTTATTTCTGAATTTTGGTATGAATATCGTTCAGCACCTTTATAGGAATTACGGAGTATTTTTTTGTAAATATTAATTTTTTTAATTTTAGATAGAAAATTTTGGCGAATTAATAGGTTGGAGAATAGCAGATTATTTTGAGGCCATTTTAAAGACTGACATGGATAAATTGACAAAATTAGTCCACTGCTATTCTCAAGGAAATATTGACATAAACCACGAGTTGAAATTATTAAAAATAGAGAGTAAGTAATCCGAAACTTGAAATCTTATTTTTTGAACGCATTAAGATAGCAAGCGGAAGTAAGTAGTTGAAAATTACATTGGGCGCCATTTTGAAACATTTAAAAAAAATATAGAAGAACTAATCTGTCAACGTTCATAGTTTTTGTATTGTACATTGAATCGCTTATATCGCAACAATCAATCGTCAAAACGCTATAATAAGCTATATCAATATTCTTCTTTTGAAGGGCCTATCAGAATGTGTAATAACATTGAAGCTTTTCACACAAAAAATTCTCAAAATCAGTCATAATCAATTACCCAGTCAGATGGACCCTTCTAAAAAAAGAAGACGTAACATATAACATTTTGGTGATAAGTTGTCGTGTTATAAGCGATTTAATGTAAAAAACGTTCAACTTTGATAGCCCGCCATTTTTATGCCGTCATCTTGAAGTTTGCAACTCTTATTTTTATAGCTTTAATTATCAATTTCATCATCCTGGATTTACCCATTCAAAAAATAATTTTCTTTTTAGTTTGGACTAAAATAATAAACTGTTTTCTAAATTTATTCATTTTTCAGCTGTTGATGTAGACGGTTTGCCCACTAGAATTATATTTGAAAAGAGATTTTCGACTGACTTCATCCTAAAATATTCACATGCCCCTGTGCACTGGAAGAAATTCACGGAAAGCCTTAAAGAAATTTATTCAAAAATACGCGATTCCACAAAGTAAGTTCATTTGGGCCATAACTGCGTTGATACTGACGAAAATACGTCATCATTTTCAGCCCCAAAATAACAATCGAGAATGGCAAGTCGGACGAAAGAAAAGTCCCCGTAAGCGAGGTAAAGCCTATTAAAAAAGATAGAAGACATGACGACCGACACACCTTGGATGTCTCGGGGCACAAAACTGACCATAAGACTAAAGCTAAGGAAGAAACGTCCAGGGTATGTATATTCATATAATTCGATGAAAAAGACCAACTTATGAATAACTTTGTATTATAAGATTGCTTCAAACCATCGGGTTGCAGTTTACGAAATGCCCTAATTTTTTATACCTGAATAGCGTCAAGACCTACGGCCAAAAGTATACAGGATGTCACAAAATAACATATCAATCTCTCGTATACACATAGAAAACAAAAAATAATGCTACAAGTTCCTATAAAAAAATGTCCGACAGCGACACAGGGCGTTAAAAGAAACTACTGGATACTTATTGCATAATCAAAGAGTAGTCATACCACAAAAAGACAGACAAAGGGAACAAATTAGAGAGAGATTTGAGATGCACCCCAAAACATGATGTCCACAAAACATCTGATGCGTCTACCATAAATACATGCTGTTTTTATTCGGTCAGAGATAAATGCGGTGTTGCCAAATAGCTAATTCTTTTTGGATGAATTTATTGACTACCAGTTGCAGTGAAAGCATTTTTTGTTCAAATTTACTTTTGTTTTCCAGCCTGTGAAGTCTATTTTTCATGCAATAAAGTTATGTCACAGTTTTCGCGAGTGTTCTCAGCGTCACGAAAGGACTTATTCCAAAAACTTGTAAGTTATCTCATTGCTATTCAACAAAAGAGGGACTTCAGCTAAACAATGTTTCTTTAAGCTCGTCATAGCAGCCGCGGTGCCCTGGTATTTAGGCTTCTACCTGCGTGGCTACTTCGGCATAAAAAACTCGTCAGTGTATTTGACATGGTCTCCAGTTATCTAGACAGCTTGACCTTAAGATGATATTTCGTCTGACTTTTTGAAGTAACCACCAAAAACCATGAAAAGAAGTGAACTTCATTTAGTTCTGTATAAATGTAGCGTTTTCTAAACATTTCTGCCAGGTCGGCAACACTGCCTCGGTAATGCAGAGTCACCTATCAGCGAAACGCGCAAATCCTTGGTACAGTGTCGAGCCAACTGTATGCGAATCGCCCAAACCAAGGACAGCCCACTTGATATGTACTCTTTGACGTAACTGCAAAGTGATAGGGATAGCGATCTGATCCCTATAATTGTCACCTTGGAACTAGCTATCATTCACTTCATATTTACATGTAGTAGCTCTGTGTGTTGCCATGTGTCAAGATACTTGAGTTGTGTGCTGTGGTTCTGATGTGATGTAATATTTGCTTCAGAGAAGGCACTCGCGGGGGACATTCATAGATTCCATGGCCTAAGCTGTATGCCCGATATTATAAGTTGTTATGTCATTCCTCCATAAGTGGCGTTTATAGCTGGTACGTGTGGCGTAGGCTAGCTTCTAGCTAGTACATAAGTGACATGTATGGCGATTATTTCTCTGTCATAGCTATTATTTTACATAATACAAGTGCGGGTATAATCAAATCACTTTTACGATACTGTAGGATTCAATAGTGACAGCTTAGTAACCAGTTGGAAGTCCCAATGCCAATATTTTGGAATAGTTTGATTTTTAAAAATCCTGTCAGCAGAAAGTGTGACCCCTACGGCAGAGTACTTTTTGATGTTTAAGGCAATCTTTGATTTTTCCCGTTTTCAGATATGAATAGAAATGCAATACTCAGAATTTCGCGTTTTGAAAATATTTTTACAATTCCAGAGAAGACCCAGCAGAACCGAAGAAAGTAGTCGGGACCGTCATCATAAAAGGGAAGACAAAAGCAAACCCCGTAAAGATGAAGACGAAAAAGATGGCGATGTCAAACATGAGGAACGAACTAGTCAGCGAAAAGATGCTGATAGAGAGAAGCATCACAGAAAAGAAGAAAATAGAAGCAGAAGTAGGCATGACAGGGATCGTGAAAGAGATCGGAGTAAGAAACGTGAACGGGATGATGCTAAGAACGATGAAGCAGGTACTATTGGTTGAAAAACGATGTCCACTTGAAAAATTTGAGTATCCATCGAGAAAAGTCGGGAATCAGACGGAAAACTTTTCATGGATTGTGCTTTCATGTAATTTTATAGCAGTCAAATGTCAAGTGCTGTTTTAGTAAGGAATTTGTTACGACTGTTGACGTCGTTTTACTATTTCACAAAGGTTTATTTTATCAATTCAGGAGACTTGATAGTAGACATTCGGTATTCCTTACCCACAAAGCAAAACTACCTTTTTTCTCTTTAAATGAAGCTTTCGCGCCATTTCGAATTTTAGTGACGTCATTATTATTTATGGAAATCTGCGAAACTTAAAAACATATTGTGTTGGACGTGCTAAGTCAATGTACTTGACTCGTATGTTTTTCAGATACGTCTACCCAAGCCGTCAAAGATGCTAAACGTCATCCTAGCACAGATAGAGTGAAATCAAGTAAAAGTAGAGAAGAACCAGAATGCTCGAAATCGAAACGCGAGTCTTCCAAAAGTAGATTAGAGGAAAAAGAGAAATCAAAATCAAAAGAAAGAGAATCTTCCAGCGTAGTTGATAGTAGTAGAAGCTCTAAAAATGATACCAAATCCAAAGAATCGTCACATTCAAAGGATACGAAACACGAAAAGAAACTTCAGAAGGAAAAATCTAAATCTGATACGCATCAGAAACCCGAAAGAAGCACTGCGAAGCGATCTGGATCTGGGGATAAAAAGTTGGTCAAAAGAAGTTTGGCAGTGGACGATACAGAACATGATGTGAAAGCAAGTGAGAGTGTGAAAGAAAACGTAGAAAGTACTTCAGGTAGGCGACACGTTTCCCAGATTTGTCAAAGTGTTTATTATTTTTCAAATTTCAGTGATATTTTTGATAGCAGCTATATTGTTCGACTACTTCACCTGTTCAAGATTTGAAAAGCCAACGATTTGAATAAACAGAATCGCAGTCACTCCCTTAAAACTAATGAAAAAATCCATTTTACTTCCCACCCACGCCACTGGCGAGGAAGCATTGTAATCGAAAATGAGATTATATGTTTTGTTTTTTTTTTGTTTCCGGCGGCCTGTCTCTCCATCTCTTTAACTTGGAAAGTACCGTTTGGATTTTGATGAAATTTTCGCACAAGGTTACTACTATGCTAAGGCCAAATACGAAAAAAGGAAAATCGCTGAATCTTCATTTTTTCACGTTTCAGAGGATCCTGATCATTTTGGAAACTTCTAACTCCAGTAATTCTATGCGCCTATCAGGCATGTTTCGAACATACATTGCCCTTAAAACTGAGAATGATAGAAATATTTTGCACTAGCCGCTGCTCGATCTCGGACGAACATGTAGGTGACGAATTTTAACCTGAACAGCTGATCAGACGTCAAAGACAACTTCACCTTTATTGAATATAAATAATCAGATAGTTATTCAGTTGTGAAATAGCGAATAGACGACCACTCTTCTGCGAATATGAATATATTTTGTGACATTTTTAGTACCTTTTCCTCTAGGAAGTAATACGTACTGAAGTTATCCTCGATTATTTATGAACAAAAAATAATAAATTTACAATACTTTTTCTCCAATCGTGATCATTATATCACATGAGGGTTAGCAAACATAGTAAACCCACCAGAACCTAAGAAAATTATATTTATATTCCTCGGCGTTATGCTTGGCCAATTATGGCATAACAAGATATATAATGTACTGTAACGATAACACCTATTTAAAGTGTAATCTTTTACTCTTACACTAACTTATAACAACACTTCGTGGAAGTTACCCAGTTGGAGGTCGATACATGATGTGGGTCGAAACTTCACCTTGACGCCGCGAACGCTCACGTAATTCTGGTTGCATAAGCGTCGATGTACAAGGGTGTCTCACTGGTACGCTAAAATTCTATTATACGAGGGCGCTACAGTACTATTTCCTTTTATTAATTGCTTATTTTTCAACATGACGTCAACTTTCCAAGAAAAGATCACCAATCAGCCTCTCTCGTAATTATTCGTATGATTTGTATTCTCTTAATTTCGACTAATGAGGGTGGTCGTGTATATATAGTCTAAGCATAAGTGGCTGGCAGCGCCACGGTACGTATGCTTATTTTCGCTCAGGTACGGCATTCGATTGAATCGTGTATCTTCTTGTAAAATATTTTAATCAATAGGAATGCGACGCACAGTGGTCTAACGCCGCTACTTAGAAAAAAATATAGCTGCATTTAAGAAAGTAGTCACATGAATTGAATTATCATTAAATATATTAAGTATTAGTTACTATTGCAGTATTTATAATATATGGCAAACTTTATCTAAATAACAATTTGGCGAGTATTTACTGTTTTACATCCATGAACTCGAATCAACTTTGGCAAATAGAAGGGCATTTCAGTAAATTTATAGCTACACGATCAAGTCGAAGTTTGAAAATCACCTCAAGGGAACTCTTTTGGGGCATTCGAAAACATTCAAATGGCTCTAACTGATCAGCTGAAGGCTATTCCAGTATGATAATAATATTGAATAAAAATAAGTACACCAAAATAAAATCTGTTACAAGAAGTGCAGTGGTTGAATATAAAAAATTTCATATCATATTTGGTTCTTATTTTTATATTTAAAATAAAAAATCATCTTTTGCCAGAACATTTAGAACACTACATAGAATTGAATAATCATTACCACAATTATTATACAAGAGGAAATATAGATTTTCGTTTACAAAATTGCAATAGTAATATAAATATTTCAGAAAGAATTAGTTGAATTTAATAAACTAAGTAATGATAAGTCTACGTGTAATTTAAAGATATTTAAAAGAAAAGTAAGGGAATATTTCATGGACAATGAAAATTCTTAGATATGCAAATTTTTTTTCTAAATATGTGTATGTTATGTAATTGTTTAGTTTTTTAGAAGAATGTAATTGTAGCAATCATGCTAAATAAATCTTAAACAAACAAACAAACAATGACATCATCTTTCAATCATTAAAAAATACTTCGTTTTTAGACTGTTTTCGCGCTAAGTAGTGACTCTAAACCATTGTGCAACACTGCCAGATACTAATTTTTCTACATTTCAACTTATCTCTTGTGATTCCTTCTCCCTCATACTAATAATACCGTAAAAGAATAATACAATGTTGGCTTTTTCTTTTTCTGTTAATGTGGAATTGACATGTTTGCTAAAAACAATCTTTCGAAGCATTGGTTTTTGTCAACAACCTGGGGTCTGATTCCAAATGAGTTTCGAACGTTGAAATTGATTTCGATGGCGCCTCGGGACGATATACTTGATTCGCTGTGATAATTTTGACACCGCCACGATAATTTGAATATAGAAGATCGATATAAACAGATGTCAAAATTATCATAGCGAATAAACTATATCGTCACAAGTCGCCGTCGAAATTAATTTCAACAGTTGAAACTCATTTAGAATCAAGCCCCAGATATAGGTGTTTCTTACGACTTGTTTTTAACTGCTTGTTTTTGTTTTGTCCCAATGATAACATTATTCGAGCTAACAATTTTAGTCAATTTACAATGTATACAGTACGAACGCGTGTGTTGTCTTCACTTTCTAACACCCTGCATAATGTTGCAAATCGGCTAGGTTTCATGTTTTTCACGCTTTCAGCTTCAGGTGGAGGGGATGCACACGCTAATGGCCACATAAAAGCAAATGGTAACGCTATGTTGGTCAGATCCAGTAGTATAAAGCCACCAAACATTCTGGTATATGCTGACAGCTTAGTGGCTAAGGATAATGTAAAAATTGCGCTGTCGACCATGTTGAATAGAGAGAAGTATGTCTACTTGTTTTATGTGTTAAGTAATTCTGTACTAAAATGAATTCGCAATTAATTGTTTTGAAAGGACCCATTGTTATGTCTCGCTAGTTTCGTTTGGTTCTTTACTACAATTGGATGTGAATTCTTATAGAAATGTGGACAATTTTTTGATATCTAAATTCCAGCAGAGTGAAAATAGACATTTAGGACATGGTTTTTGATAAGTAAAATTTGATGAATGCTTTTAGGTACACGATCTACGATCTTCCGATGGACTCAAAGCAAATGATCTGGGACCAGTCGACAGTCCTTGTGGTCGTATGCGGTACAGTCCCTCCAAACCTTACATTCAATCTATTGCAGTACCTGTTACAAGGTGGTCAATTATTGTGCTTGTGCAGTGATCTCCTGTACAGCGTACTGCACACCTTCACTACTGCTGAAGTGAGAGAACACGAGTTGGTTTGTTTCAATTATGGAAGGTGGAAGAATGTAAAAATGATGCATCATATATTTGTTACCAGGCATCGCCAGCTAAGAAGCAGTTTTCCAAGGATTCCGATCATTCGAACCAAAGGTTAATTTCTGTTACTGTTTTTTAATCATACCTTTCAAAGAAATTATCACAACACCAAAAAGTAATCCAACGAAAATTTTGCACAATTTTTCCCATGTATTTTTCACGGTGACCACAAGTGTGAAGTCAAATTTGGGGTCGATGGACAAATTTTAGAGAAAACGGATAAAACGATCTACCAAAAAATCTTACTATATTTTTCCAGCTATTTTTTTTCCCTCTGAACACGAATCTATAGTCAAATTTGGGGAAAGATGGACAATTATGAAAGTAATTTAGGCCCGTATCGTCAGTCGTCCCTACAATTGTACTTTTGGTTGAGTTTGCATCTTTCAGAGACCTCTGAAGAGATGCACATCCACAAAATATGCCAAAATGTGTGATCTTGATGCCCGAACTACTTCAGACCCTCAATTTTGTGTTCAGCGTGAAAAGTACGTGGAAAAAACATAGTGGAATCCCCATCACCGAC